ATTTATTATAACCACAGAATAAAACTAGCTCGTCTTTAGGACTTGCGTAGTGACTCCAATAAAGTTATTGTATCTACGATTCAGATATAGCACGAAAGGTAGAGATATAGATGCAAAATTTGAAAGATACAGATATAGATGCAAATAAACTTACTGTATCTACGATTTAGATAGCGTGATAAACCTGCTTGAGTAACTCCAAGCACTACATCATTCAATGTCTGCAACATATGTGGCATCCGTTACATAGATGATCAATCTCAATATCATTTATGTTATTTAAAATTATTATTTTGGGGAAAAATGATCACATAGTTTCCTTACGGTTAAAGATAATCACCAAGTTTTTCATTATTTACTAAAATGACCATCAGTTAGAAACATTGTATTTAGAATTCATTTTATTTGTTTCATATAAATATTTTGTAATATCAAACATATTTTATAAAATATATTTCAGAGAAGACATCTCGGATAAAAAATAGATATTTTAGAGAAAAATTAATATAAATAGACAATTCAGGCAAAAATATATATTTCAGAGTTGTTCTTAGAGTTTCGAAATTCTTATTTTCGTTTAATCCATGACTCAAATGCGCTAATACACCTATCCACGACTCAAATGATATTGCAAGAAAGATTTGTGGTTTTAAAATATGCCGAAGAAAACATTTTGAAGAACCTAAAAAGAACATTTTTGGTTCCAATGTCTTGATGCAAACGAGAGAAAAATTCAAACTATCTGCTAAAATGTTGCTTCATAATAAAAAATGGGCCTATTTTGGACTTGGTGGTCATTTTAAAAAGACAAAACTACAAATTTGGTCCTTATAGTATTCAAAAAATTCGGATAGGGTCCAAAAAGTTTCCAACATGCATTGATGGTCCAAAATCAAGAGTTTCCTTTAGTTTTGGTCCCTGGCGAACTTGAAAAGACTGTTTTGCCCTTTTTATTTCTCTTTTTATATTTTTTATACTTCTTTTAATAATTTATCAATTAAAAAATAAAAATAAAATAATTATTCCCCTACCCACCCCATCCCATGTTCTCTCTCTCTCTCTCTCTCTCTCTGTCACACATACACACACACAAAGAGTATAAAAAATCAGTATCTTCATCTTCGCCAACCATTCCTCCTAAAAACCCTAAAATCCATAATTTATCCTGAAAACTTTGATTTAGGTGTGAGTAAGGCTCTGATATTTGTCTTTTCCATAACGTAAACCCATTCTTCGCTGATTTCGACGTTTTTACGAGGAGAGTTGAAGAAGTTTCTGGCGAGTAGATAGTACCAAAGACATAGATTAAACAGGCGATGGCGAGGTTAGCGGGCAGGGGCAAGAGAGGTGGTTGTGGGTTCTGTCTCGTGGTGGTTTAGATGGGGGTGTGAGTGGCAACATCAGTTTCTTCTACACCATTCTCTTCATTCTCTACAACTATACCAGTTCTAGTGGTCTCCTTTAACTTGTAGCCTGAAACTGGTTTTTGGAAATCTTTACACATATTTTGATTATGTTAACAACACTTTGTATAAAAAAGTATATTCGTCACTATTTTTAAAGGAATCATAAAGAAACATGAATCTTGAAGAACACTGTATGATTGGTACTTCGATTGATGTAATTTAGGGAAGAATGTGGGGATATAGAGTACCTCAGCTTCAAAATCATCTAGATCTTATTTCCAACAACATTTCCAGAGACAATAAATAACTTTTCCAGGAAGAATATGCAAGACCCACTTAGTTATTTGAGTAATGAAGATGAGTTGAACAAATCTTGATTTGAGAGTGAGAGAGAGAGAGAGAGAGGGAGAGAGAGAGAGAGGATAATTCTTTTCTTTTTTATTTTTAAGTTAAAATGGTATTAAAATAATTATTATGATACAAAAGAAAATAAAAGGGCATACTCATCTTTTTAGGTTTTTTGGACTAAAAATACAAGAATTTTTTTAATTTTGGACCATCCATGTAAGAACATCTCCAATGGTAAACCTTTGCTATCACTTATTTCTTTTGACACCCTATTATTAAAAAAATGGTGACCTCCAAATAAGTAACATCTCCAATGGTTGAGCATTTTATAGTTTTTTTTTTTTTTTAATGAATTTAACTTATTAATCCTCATCTATCTAAAATGTTCTATAAACCTTATCATTTTTTTTTGTTTTTTAAACATATTATATTTTAATATGAAATATTTTAATTAAGGTTATCATTAGAAATTAGTATATAAACATTTTATAAAGGAAAACTATGATATAAATAATTAAATAGTTAAATAAATGGAAAATATTTAAAATTTAATTTTAATTAAAGGGGTAAAAACAAAATATGATAAAAGTAAAGGAGGTTAAGTGGTTAAAGTGTTATAGTATATTGACCACTTAATATATATTGAGTGATCAATATAAATACACAAAAAAACTATCTATTCCAATGCTATTAAGTAAAAATAAGTTATAACTCAATATTAATAATCTCTAAAAAAATCTCTCATTGGAGATACTCTAAGTTGAAAACTTTTTTGATCATATCTAAAGTTTTTTTGATTACTACAAGGATTAAGTTTATAGTTTTGTTTTTTAAAGAATAAAAAAAAAGCTTGGTCACCATTTAATTTTCAACATCCATGTGATTTTTTTGTTAAAATCCTTAGACTTGATTTTTTTAGTTTTCTATGAAAATTATCATGTGAAAATGAAACTTTTGAAAAGGTTTTTAGTTGATTCAGTTTTCAAAAATTTTCCAAAAAAATCAAAAAATTTCTGTTTTCCAAATTGTATGTAATTAGAAATCTGATTTTTATAATTTTCAAAGTTTTCTAAATTTCTAAGATGCAAAATGAAAACTCCATCGTTTCCAACAAAACATATTTTCTTAAATTTTCATTGAAAATTAAGAATGAAAACTCAACTTTATTTTCTAAAAAAACTTTTTCATGGAAAATTAAACAGTATTCCACAACCAAATGTATATTTGGTCTTTTCATTATAAGATTGTCATAGGAGACTCTTTTTCCAACAAAACATAATACTTAAAAAAAAAACAAAATATTTCAAAATTTTCATTTGATTTTGCATTTTGCAAATATATTTTTATTTCTAAAATAAATGGCTAGGATTGTATCCTAATTTATCATAAAATAATTATGGTCTCTATGTAATATATATATATATATATATATATATATATATATATATATATATATATATATTCACAAATTTTTATATAATTTAGCTGAAATTTTTTTTGAAAAAAAAACCAAAAAATAAAAAAATAATAAAAATAATAAAAAAATACAAAAAATCGATTTTTTCAGTGAATATATAAAAAAAAAAACCTACGGTTTTTAAGAATATAAAGTAAAAATGTAGATCTCTATGTATTTTCTTTATACATTTTTATGATATTTAAGGTTTTTTAGGGTTTTTTTTTCTATATAACTCATCGCTATATATATATATATATATATATATATATATATATATATATATATATATATATATATTATATATAATATATATATATATATATATATATATATAATATATAATATATATTATATATATATATATATATATATATTATATATATAATATATAGAGCGATGAAATAAACTCTAATAAAAAACGAATTAACGTACCACATCCATGACCTTCTTTACCACCTTAATGTCAGATAAGTTCACGCTCTTGCGAACAAAACGTCTAGGTCTATTCTCTACGCCTAGAGGGCCTTTCAGTGGTGTTTCGGTGTCTTTAAGGAAAAACACGGTGAACACAAACATGACAACGGAAACAAAGGAGTTCCAAAACATTTCTAGCACCGACCCGACAGTAGAAAATTTGATGTAACTAGATTCTTTGTAGACGGGAAGCGTTGGCAAAGCATCAGGATCCGATGATTTTCGTGTACAAGCAAGAAAAAGTGTCATCAAAGACAAACCATCGCCTAAGGAGTGATGGAAGCGAAAAACACCGGTCCCTTCATCATTGGTTGTCTTGATGTCAAGAAGGTGCAGATCCCATAAAGGCTTTGAACTCTCGATTGGAGATCTGCTAAGGTTTGAGATGTAGTCATCGACAAATTTGTCTGGGAATGCAATATTCGGTTCTATTTTCGGGACTATAACATGGTTGTCAATGTTCACGTTTGTTGGAACCCATATGAAGCTTCCGGTTTCTTTGTTGACGACCTGAAAATCGATAAGAAGGCAAGAGTTTAGAAATGAAAATAGCTTCCCACAAAACAATAGAATTAGTTATCACATTTTATGATCAGGTTTGAATAAAGATTGCAATGAATTGTTTTTATTTGTGACACATTGATATTCTTATAAGTTAAACGAAAAAGGATTGCACAGCGAAAACAAGTAAGAAAAATAACCCCCACACATACGGGCACACATACACTTTGACATGTTCAAGTAAGAAAAATAACCCCCACAACAATTTTTCATAATTACACGAAGAATGGAAATACGGGGAAAAAGAATTTAAATGGAAAGTAGATGTGATTCCACTATTTGGTATACCAAAAAAATAAATGCAACCGGAAACTATTGATAAGAAACACTTCTTTAATATAAATAAAATAAAAATCAATTTGTTTTTCAATATTTGTTATTTTCAAACATAGTAAAACCACGTAAATAACTTATTAACTACTCCACTAAATTAAAAACGTAGCAAAAAAGTAAACATCTTTTTAATTGAATTCTAGATCGCTTGTACGTAAAAAATAAAGGTAAAGAATAAATTGGAGACAAAAGATAATAAAAAGTATAAAGAGAGAGAGAGAGAGAGAGAGAGAGAGAGAGAGAGAGAGAGAGAGAGAGAGAGAGAGAGAGAGAGAGAGAGAGAGAGAGAGAGAAGAGAGAGAGAGAGAGAGAGAGAGAGAGAGAGAGAGAGAGAGAAATGGAGCATTTTGTGGCTATAACCCCTCAAAAGAACTTTGTTAATCTCCACCACTTTTGTGGAGGGAGTGTTCTATTTGCTCAACCTCCTTGTGGTGAAGAAAAGGAGAGGCAGAAAATGACATTGATGGGTCAGAAATCGCTTTGCACTATCGTTGGGCTTACAACATGGCTTACCGTAATCGTGTGTGTGTGTGGGGGGATGATTCCCAAAGTTATAACGTTGCTTTGTTATGCCATCTCAACCGATAATAGTATTTTTGTGACCCATATGGGATTGTCTTAAATATTTGTTAATAGCTTGATTTCTCTTTTTTTGTCATTTTTCTTCAAACTAGAGAGTTATTTTGTTAGAAAAGAAATTCGTTTTCTTACTTATTTCTTTATTCTTGGCATTAAATAACAAGAAAAATGTAATATATATATATATATATATATATATATATATATATATATATATATATATATTTTCTTCAAATTATTTACTTAGCTAGACATTGCTTAAATTTAATAAAAATTGATATATTATTTTTTACTTTTTGTAAAATAAATCGAAAAAAAATCAACATCATTCATCAATGATATATATATATATATATATAATATATATATATATATAATAATTATATATATATATATATATAATATATTATATATATATATATATATATATATATATATATATATATATATATATATATATATATATATATATATATGATTTCTTTGTTTATATGTAGAACATAAAAAAATATATATAAAGTATGGTAAATTGTTTTGTTTTTTAACGTGAAGCCCTAAAATTAAATATAAACCCACCACATTGTAATTGTATATTGATATAGGCATTTATTTGTAAACATAAAAATAACATATTTTGATACATTTATTTTTTAGATATAAAAAAGGCCCAAAAGTAATATATATATATATATTATATATATATATATATAATATATATATATATATATATATATATATATATATATATATATATATTTAGAGAGAGAGCTATATTCAAATATTTCTAACAATTATTGTGTGTATGTATGCACCAATGAGAATTGAGAAAATCATAAATTGTTAAATAAATCATTTAAGGGTGTTATAGTAATCTTTGCATTTTTAATTATAATAGATAATTAATATCTTTAATATCCCTTTAAATATGAGATGTCAAAATCAAAACCCGTAGAAAAAAACCCTGCAGTTGTTGTCTTCAATTTTGTTCCTCCATATCTTTATTGTCTCCCTCACTAATTCCTTGCGGTTCTTTTTCTTACTCCACCACAATGAAGTACATGTTCCTTTCAATTCATTATCTGCATCTCATTGCTATTTGGATTTGGCTCGATGATCGGTTCATGGATCTTGTATGAGCTATTATGTAAAGAGGTTAGCAATATTTTATTACATTTAGATGTTTTCAAGGCTTGGTCGTTCAATTGCCGGCATCATCCATAATTTAGTATCTCTTTAATAGGTAAGGCTTGGTTGGTTAAGATTAGAGTTTTGTAACAAAATCATAAATAGTGGTTCTTTGTTTATTGAACAAATAGGTATACCATTAATGTTTTTCTTTTCTACTCATTGTTGCATTAAAATTATTATAATAATTATTAATTATTTTCTTTTGATTTCTAAATGGTTTGTAGTTAATCACGAGATCATACTAATTCCGGTATTTTGCATTTGATAATTAAAGAAATTGTTCAAGATATGATATTAGGAATATTATCAAGAGGCAAAGAATTTTTTTGGTGGATTTCATAATTGTGTTTTTGTATAAAAAAATCAAGTTTGATATGCTTAGTCGAAAGATTCTATCAGAATATGTAGCAGAATAACTAGTAAGACACGTTATTAGAATAAATTATAATTATTTAATGTCTACTACATTCTATCATAATTTATAGTTTTTATTCTTTTAGAATGCTCTGAGTTTTTTAATATTTGAAAGTTGATTTTTTTTTTTTTTTTGTGGATTTAGGTTTTGAAGATACTGCTATTGATGTAGAAAAGGAGAAAAAAAACATGAAGAACTAGAGTACATTCTTGCAAAATGTATTATCCTAGAATGTATAAATTGTTTCTTAACACTAATATTCTTTCGGAATGAATTAGTATTTTTGTTAGATTTTGATTTTTTTCTTCTTTTTTTAAATATTTTTAGTTTTAATCTTTAAGAATAAATGCAATCCTTAAACCATTATTAGTCATAATTTTTTTTAAAATGAATGTAATAATTTTTTTATAGTCTTATTTTTACGGACGAATCTAAATAGTGATCCTTAATGAATAAAATCCGTATTCTTTTAGAATGTTATTCTTGATAATATGTTATATAATTTTTTAAGCATATTTAATATAAAAATATCTTGAATGAAACTATATTCTGCAAGAATAAAACCGTAAATATATTACTAGTTTATTGTTGACTTTTTTTCATTCTAACAAAATAAAATCGTTTATTATTAAAAATAATATTAAAATTTAATTAGAATTAATTTAAAAAATAAGTTTTTTTTTTAAAAATAATGGAATTAATGATCTCTTAAAACCCGAAAATTTCCTTTTTTTAAAATAGGTTAATTGACCAAAATACCTTTTTATTGAAATTTGTGTGATTATATGATACATGCTACCATATTGTAATATCATATACCCTCAGATCATGACTGTTGATTCTATTCATCCGGTAGTCCAGATCTATGCATTCTGGCAAACAATAATTATTAAAAACAAAATAACCTAAGATATATATATATATATATATATATATATATATATATATATATATATATATATATATATATATATATATATATATGTTCAAATGTCGATTGATATCTATTACGTAGACATATGGACAATAATATTTTATGAGTATGACTAAGAAAATATATTGTTTGGTAATCTGAATATGTTCAACCTCAATTAACTATTATCGTTATCATATATTCTCACCAATTAAACCATCTATAAGAGTTATAGATTTTTTTATGCTTCTTATTTTGTGTGGATGTTGTCAAAATGTTTATTGATAATCGTATTCTGTAAGACTGAAAATGAGTGAAAAATAATGTGTAAGAACAAAAATGAATAACAATTAGTGAGAATACATGATAATGACGATAGTTGTGTGAGGTTTAACATATTCAAATTACCATACTACTTATTCTCTTAATCATTTTCATAAAACAACACTATACACACACTTTTGTACGTTAGATATTCATCCATATTAGGTTTTACGGAGTGAGAGCGAGAAAGGGGGTGAGGGAAGCTTCCCTCACTCTTGAACACCACTCATTGGATGAGGGAAACCTCCCACGGGAAAGAGGGGGGGAGGGAGTGTCGCACTCTCTCTCTTCATGTTATTGGACAGTTTTTTTTTTTTCTTTTATCCTTTTTAATATTTATAAAATTATATATCTATCAAAAAAATATATTAAAATTCATGGTTTTTAATTCCCTACAAAATGAGTATAATATATGTATGAAATATATTTTTAAAAAAATATAAAAAAATAGTGAGGGAAGCTTCTCACTCATTCCTTGGGTTTTAGGTGAGGGAAAAAAAAGTAAGGAAAAGAATAGTGGGGCCCACAAAAGTAATGGAAACATCACTCCCACACCTTCCGGTCTTATAACCTAGCTCTCTCTCTCTCTCTCTCTCTCTCTCTCTCTATATATATATATATATATATATATATATATATATATATATATATATATATATATATATATATATATATATATATATACACACACACATTGTGTGGGATTTAAAGAACTTAATAAGTTAGAAAAAATTTCTTTATAAAAAAGATAAACCAAGCAATGAAAATGTATTGTATTTTCTAAAAAGATTTTTGTTCTATTTCTATATGGTTGGGGTGTCAAACGATGACACCATACGATAAAAAATACACCACCATATTAGGACTAAATAACAATTCCAATTCGTGTTCCTTTGTCCTATTCGATGTAATGCCCCGCTTCAATAAATTATGTCTATTTTTTATTTATTCTATTTTTCTTTTTCTTTTTTTGAAATGGGCAATACATTAAAATAAACCAACACCTAGCAAGCAACAAGGCGGGGCACAAAACGGGGATAAAATAACTTACAAAAAGTATATCTACTGGTTAGCAGAAAAAAGAAAAAAAAAAAAAAATCAGATGTGTAGTGTCATAAACTTATTGACGGAACTTTAAGTTTTAGCGTCAAGTTAATTTTGGGCGCTGGCAGTGAATGAGTTTGAATGATTTAGAGTAGTGAGTTTTAGTAAATTAGTGCATTATCCGGTGTCGCACCTCAAACCCATACCCACCCAAAACTAGATGGACTCCATAACTTGTAAATCAATTGGAAACATGAATGTGACAAGATATTACAAACTCTAGTTTACTTATATTAATTGTAGTAAAATAGAATCCTACACAAACACAGAACCAATGTTCACACTAGATGCACAACTTCAATTCATTACGCCTTAACTACGGGGCCATTACTCTCATATTATTCGAATGTCTCAAGCCAAAAATAACCTATTGATGCACAAACCTCCAAGTCAACTTAAAACTATATTATAAGCAACTTAAATATAGTTCATTAGTTCATAGCCCATGTGAGTGACAAATTATATATCACATCATGGATGTGTGAACCATGAGCGACAACAGTTTCAACTTTTGATGGTGTGGTTTCAAGGTTATTTATACCTGCAGGCTTGAGAACCTAGGATGTCGAAGGAGAGAATGAACAAGATTTTGTTTGACGACAGCAGGGTTGATCTTGGTCTTGCACCCCATCATGGTTATGATGTAGACATTGGAACCAGGTTCATGGAACAATCTTGACATAGGGCTCAAAGGTTGATCTTCTTCCTTCAATCTTGGACCATCGTTGATGGTGGTTTTGATCTGTGTAAGAGTGTTGAGACCTTTTGCAGAACTCATGGCTCACACAAAATTGGAACTTTCTATATCTAGGAATGCATGTTGAGTTCATGAATGACATCCTTATATACATCAACCATGGCATCATTTTATTATTATTATTTTCTTTTTTTTACTTTTTTTTTCAACCATCAATGCTTTATTAAAAATAACCAGACAGTATTTGATTTAATAGGTGTCAAATTATATATGCTATTGGTTGACGAGTCAAAATTGATGAATATATTTTCTTTGTTTATTAATTTTTAATGGCAAACTACACGTAAATGGAATATACTTTCGGCGAATCTCCTAACATTGAAAGGACGTATATTATAAGTTTATAATGATTTTGTAATAGATAAACTAACTCATAAGTAACTATTTTTTGTTTCATTATAGACTATATACTTTAAGCTCTTACATGTTGATTTTAAAATATATTTTTTGAAATAAAAATTGATAGAAAATACATTTAGTCTAGGTAAATTTTCTCCTATATATTAATATAATAGGTTATAATTCGTGTAAACCACGGTAAATAAATTTAAAATTATTATATAAACAAAAAATAATAATAAAGAAGGTAATTAGGAGAATATATCTTTGATTTCTTTGAAAACATTAACATCCGAGAGATTTAATTAGATTTTTAAAAGATTGATATAATTTATATTTGGTAAATGTTATTTATATATATGGTATTTTATTCTCAAAATTTGAATTGAAATTTTGTTTGTTACCAAAAAAATCAAAAAATGAGAAAAATAATAAAAAAAAAATATCACGTATCAAAAAGATAAAAAGACAAGATAGAAAAATAACATGTGATACTTTTAGGTTTTGTTTATTAGGATAGATACATATAGTTAGATAAAATTCCAAAAAAAAAAACCTGCATATGTTTATCAAAATATTGAAGAAAACAAATACAAATAATATCATGATTGAACACAAAGAAAAAACTCTATTTCCCCTTATTGAATTTCAAATAAAATAATTAAACAAACCGGTAATTAATATCGTGAACTAATTATCGAAACTCAACTCAAGAATTAATATTGGTGATTAAATAACGAATTGTTATAACCAATACCAACAATCTAACAATTTATTATGGAGAATTAAAGTTCAAACCTCATCACAAATTATACATCTAGTTATTATTATTATTATTATTATTATTATTATTATTATTATTATTATTATTATTATTTTTTGTCAAGTTTCATCTAAAAATAAGATAGATCACATTTGATTTTAAGAAAACATAGAAAGAGAATGCCTTGCTAACGGAAGAACTGAAAACAGAAAATACACGTAAAACAAACATGTAGATTATAGATTCTTCGTCCTATAAATGATTTGCATGCTCAATATCTTATAAGTGTCAGCATAACCCCCCCAGTATTTAATGTAAATTATCATTCGTTCCAATAGATACGGAAGAACTAATAAATGCAAAGTGAATACTCAAAAATCGGGAATCGAGAACAACCTTCTATCTGAATTTTCAGAGAGATGAGAGAGAGGAAAATACCTCATTTCTTGTGTGTGTAATATGATTCCAGTAAGGTTGTGTTTATAGTGGTGGAAACTATATGATTCTCCAAACAAATTTGGCTCGATGAAGTCCTCCTTCCTTTCTCACATGAAGTCAGTGTGTTTTTATATATGTCTCTAAAAGGTTCATGGACCTTGTCCAATTAGTCACCGTGTAGTCAATGTTAATGGGGTGAACTGACCCAATTTGATTGACCTTGGTTAAAAAGAGTAGCTCATTAGCTCATAGCAATTTTGTGGTCAAAATGCATGTAAATCATGACATTTTGCAAACATCACATCTCGCGTACACGAACCAACTAGGAGCTTGTCGGTGCTTGACACATCCTTTGATGCACTAAATCCTTTAATGGCTAAGTCCAAAGAATACCTTAAAATCCCACTTAAATTTCTAATTCTTTCCCCGCCTATATGGGAAAAAAGGAAAACGTTTTATCCCTTAAATTTCCAACAATTCCCCACCAAGCTAAAAAGTTTCCTTTCACTTAGACTGATGATGTCACTTATGTGTCATGAAGATTAAACCTTAATTTAATATGGTGAAACAAGAAGAGGTCAATTCAATGCTATCATATAGATGTAAACCAAGAACTGTGTGGTCTTTTTGGTTTATGCCTCCACACCACCTGTTATCTCTTTATTCTCACTAAACATGAATATGAACATACAACATAAACCCTTTTCATGAACCTCTAGAAGATAAACCACTAATATTCATTTGAGGCACCACCACGTCTAGATCATATAAGAAAAGTTTTGCAGCGTAGTCGTTGCTTATATGTCTCTAAAGTTTTGTTAATACTTTTAAGTCGACCTTCTTCTCAACAATGATTACCTCACATGTATCTATCATTATTGATAGCAACTTTTATCTTTAGTAACTTTGTTATTACCCTTTAAATTTGAGAAGTAGGAACATTAATTTCAAGTTGGGTTTCCATCACTAAACGAGTATACCATGGTATTAAACCCATGTTTATTGTAGTAGTTCCAACCAAATCTCTCGTAAGAGATTTGATCAGCAGATCTGCCAACTTCCTACTTGTCTTCACATATATAACTTTGATGCCACAATTTTTAAAGTCGTGTCATGTAATTGTGTTGAATACCAAAAAATATTAACTTCCCATTATATACAACATTAGATACTTTAGACAATGTGATCTTACGGTCACTATACATGAGAATAGATGGAATTGGAATATCTTATAAGATCGTTGTAGATCTCAAATCTACTCCTTTTCTTTGCTTATTGTTGATAAGGAAATAAACTCGACATCCATCATCGAGTGAGATACAAGTAAATATCTTTTGCGCCTAATAAATATATCCTCTAGGTAGTATGTAAAACCAGGTACTTGTGTATTTAGAATCATTGGAGTGATCTTTCTAGTTGGCATCATAATACCGTTCTAGTATACCCAAAAATGATATATTCATCAATTTAAGAGTACTTATCTCTTTTCAAGTACTAGAGTACTCCATCTACTTCCTTCCAGTGTTCCATACATAGGTTGATAGTATATTGACTTAGTATTCTTAAACTGAATGTGATTCCAAATCAAGTGTAATGTGTAACACACATCTTGCAACCATTTCGATTTACATACTCCACTTAAACCACTACTCGATTAGAGTTCACATAAAGTTTCACAATTAAATAAAAAGGAGTGTTAATTTCCTTAATGTTCAAATCTTGAAACTTTTTTAGGATTTTCTTTATGTAATAAGATTGACTCAGAGAAATCTAAATACCAATTCTTTTCACATTGTTACCAAGAATGGTATATACTTTTCTTATGTCCTTCATCTTAAATTTTAAGGATATACATTTCTTTGTCTCAATAATACCTTCTAGGTGAGCACTAATTATCAAAATTATCATTTACATAAAGATAGATAATGATTTTGTATCAAGTCATATAGTTGGTATAAATATTGTAATAACCTAAAATTTAAAGAGATTTGAATTTTAGTCAAATTTTGACCAAAATGTCAAAATGGTCATTTGATGAGTAAGTTCAAGAGAAAGAATGCATGAGAATATGCATTTTGGCCAAAAGGGTAAAATGGATATTTTTATGCTTTTTGCACCAAGTTTGTGACTTAATAGATTAAGACTCGTATTAAGTTAGTGGGAAATGACTTAACAGAGTCGTAGAGTACGTTACCAGTTTCGTGTGGATATAAATATCATATACAATTGGTTAGAAACAAAAGAAGATATGAAGGTTTGAAGATTAGAAGAAAACTATCCTAAAGCTAGAATAGAATTAGCTAAGAAACTGATGCCAAGCAGTTACTATGGTGAGGTAAATAGATCAACCCAGAGCAGTGATGGATGAGGAGGATTCAGACGAATTCCTTCATCGTGAGTAGAGAGTAATGTACTTTACACCATGGTGTGGTATATGGGTGCCCTGACATAGTGGCCAAAGTAGGATGTTGTTGTGGGAAGTCACTACGACTTGGTTAGTAGCTGGCCACGAGCTTATTAGACCTACCATGGCGTGGTGAGAGACCCTCTGCGGTGTGGTGTTGCAAACAGGTTAAAGGTTGTTAAGCCTTCATTATCTTCATATGCACCCCTAAACACTACATAGTCAAACCCTGGGAATTTTAAGGTTGGAAAAGGATATGGTGCTTATGGTGTGGTTTAGGCATCAAATGCTCATGAGGGAATCATTTTTCTCCATTTTAAGCTAGTTAGTGTTTTAATGGTATTTTGATTATTGAGCTAATTGTGTAAGATTATGTAAATAAAAATTGTCATTAATGTTTAATCAAGTGTTTAGAATGCTTGAACAAGCTTTTATGTGATTTTCATGGTGAAATCTATATATATATATATATATATATATATATATATATATATATATATGATGAAACATCCCAAAAATACATTCCAATATTTTCGTTTTTAAAATCATTAATAAAACCATAATTCATCCATCAACATAAGGAAAACCAATAACCATGTATCTCAACACATCATGTAAAACATTGTATCAAAATCAAATAAGAAAATATCAAAGTCTGAAACAATCCCGGGTTGAACTGTGGTGTATGGCATGCGATCATACCGAGCCCTTCCCCTTGCTAGTAGAAGTACCTGAAACCAAAACTAAAAAATGTAAGCACGAAGCTTAGTGAGCCCCCTTAAACTATCATATACCATACAATAACACATAATAACACATAATGGGCCTTGCCCTCTGCATCGGGATTGCCCCGACATCCGACCGAAGTCTGGAACATATAGGCTGTATCGGCCTAACCCCGCCATCGGGCCTAGGCCCGGCATACTAACATATATAAATGTGTCGACATTGGTGCCTTCGACCCATTCCTACTGAAGGAAAACTCACCTCTCAATCTGGCTGCTGAAACTCGTGCGAATGTAACTCTGACCGCGAGTCCAACTACTCCTCGGCTATTATGACCAAAATAAACACTTC